CCGCGCGCTCCCCTGAGTTCGCTTTTCTCCCCCCCTGCGTGACTTTCCCCCCATGTTCCCCCCCTATCATTATTATCATCATCATCATCAATCTACCCGTACCCTACCTACCACGCTACCACCCATTCAATCGTAGATAGGATCACTTCGCCCACGATTTACATCAAAACTCATTTATTCCTTATTATTATTATTATTATTATTATTATTATTGTTATTTTCTTTCTAGACTTCATTCTACAATTTTTGGAAATTCAAAAATTAATCAACTATCTATCTCGACATTTCTTTCCCAAAAATCTTTTCTTTTTCGAAATTTTCAAAAATACTTAGGGTTAATCATTTCTTTATCGGCATTTCTTCTTCGAAATTCGAAAACAAATTTGATTAATTCTTTTTCAAAATTTTATAATTCAAAAATATTTTAGAATTAATTGGACTTTTTTTCGACATTTCTTTTTCAAGATTTCCTATTCAAAATAATTTCTAATTATTTCTTTTTCAAAAATTTTAAAATTTACGCATTTCTTCGTAATCAATTGTTTTTCAAAATTTTTGTAATTCAAAACAATTTAGAATTAATTAAATTATTTTTCGACATTTCCTTTTCGACAACATCTTGTTTTTAATTTTTTTTTTTGAAAACTACGAGCTTCAAAAATAATTCTGACTAATTATTCTTCGAAATTTTTGTAATTCAAAAATATTTTCGTTCGAATTAATGCACGACTGAATTAATCTTTTTTTTCTCGAAATTAACTAGTTCTTTTCATTTGGAAATTCCAAAAAATTTCGCTTCTGTATTTTATTGACAAATACATTCTCGAATTAACTTCGAATAAATTCAAATTAATTTATTCAAAATTAATTCTTGCTTTGTGATTCTTTGCTACCTTCATTGTTAAATCACTTGATGACGCTCTACTCTTCTAAATAGGAATTGTCCCCCCCTTCTCCACATGCCACCATGCCAAACCAAGACCTCCCAACGCGCCGCCGCCGACGTCGCTGCCGCTGCCGCTGCCACCGCTGCCGCTATCACATCCACTGCTACCACCTCCACTGCTCCATCTTCCTCCGCCACCTCGCCTCCATCCTCTCCAATGGCCGAAGGTGCTTCAAGCCTCAACATGAGCTCTCTCCGCGACGACACCGTGGCAGATATCCACCGCGAACTCGTTGGCCAACAAGCCATCGGGGAGAACACCCCCGCCCCATCCCTCCTCTCCATCCTTCAGTCCGTACAGGACTCCCTCTGAACACTCACCACTTCCGTCGCTGGCATCTCAAGTCGGTTGACCGTCCTCGAGTCCCAAACCACTATGCACTCCATCTAGGTGGTCACCACCACCACCCCC